TAATCAGTATTTTTGTCTTATTTCTTGTATACATATCTATCTTACTTGAGAAGACAAATTGTATAGGATAATTAGACTTGTTTTCAGAAAACATATATTTTTAAAGTTTATTTTCTTAGCCTATTGGCATTTTACTGGTCTGAAGCATAAATCTAACAAAATTTAATGAGGTGCATGCTTAAAAAGAATTTGCCATTGGTGTGAGAAAAATAAACTTAATTCAATATATATTTCTTGAAAACAAGTATTAACATTTCAGCTTTGCCTCTTTAGATATGTTTACTGCAAAACTATACAAAAATATTGATTAAGGACATTATTTATTGCAGTTTTGTAATTTATCATGTGATTTCTTTGGTCCACAGGTGACATTTCCACTCTGTATGTGTAAGATTTAGACTGTTTGTGTAAGAGTGTTTAATGTGCGTTATCTTTGTTTCTTACAGAACCATCGTAGTGTATCTGTTTGTATTAGTCTGTTATATTTCCCATGCCGGAAGCCTACAATCCTACAATGTCCAACTCACTGCCTCTCTCTCTTTCTCCCTACCACCATCACTCCATTTCCAACCTCCCTGTATATGCCTTTCCTCTCTTTCTTGTTTTTCAGATATCAAGCTAGAACGTGGTAAATAATCTTGTCTCTATATATTTATCGTCACTCCCTCTTTCCTTCTGTCCCATCTCCTCCTGTCTTCCTCCTTTTTTCAGCTCTTACATTGTGAAGATCTCCTTTCGTTGGTGTGTAGTTTACCTGCATTTCATTTCGCGCTCAAGGGAACTTAAAAGAGAACTCTTCAGTCATTGCAAAGGTTTTGGGGCAGCCAACTCCTTTACGATTCTTATAAAACGATAGATGGATTCCACATTATGTAACTGTAATGCAATTCTTCTGTTTCCAGAGAAGTTTTCTTATACAGCTTGTCCTGTTATATGCAATGGCTGTAAAGATTCTTTGCACTTTGCCCTTGAGTGCTCCCTCACAGATCTACTGTAACTCCAGCATTCACTGACTGATTGAGAGGAAAGAAAGAAATTTGTCTTTTCTTTTCTGATCAGTTTTCTCTGAGGAGATCACAGAGAACTGTGGTGACCAGTGTCACCAAAACCATGAAATGATTTGCAGATTCAGGAAACTTTATCCCCTAAAATGAGCCATCTAGTATTATTTGAACCATTCTTTCAAATAACGAGGTGCCATTTTTACTTCAGAAGAACAAAAGCGTCCGACATGGGACAGTATAATGTAGAAATTATTTAGTGTTTAGTCTCTAGAGCATTTTTTAACCTTCATTAGTGGTCATCAGTAACATTAACAAAACTCATCTTCCATTTCATTCTTATAAAATTTGCCCAGATTTGCTCTCCATAAATTGCTCTCCATACAGTTTTCCAAATCTTGTCTTACACCTCTTGTGCTTTGGACATGAATGATCGAGTCATTTTGAGTACCAAGTCAAACCAACCAACAAGGAAAATAGAGATCTTGTTTTTAGTTTTTTACAATTACGACAAATGTTTGCCAGTGTTCAGCAAATATGAGAGTGCATATATGAGGATGCTTTCACTCTAAAGAGAGAGCACTCAGACAGCTCATCTTAAAGCAAGCTCTTTAAAAAAAAAACTATTTAAAACCATGACACAATAAAAAAATGTGACACAAAGTTCTGAACCACATCAAGCCAGTTAGAATGAAAAAAGTGTGCGCTTATGATTATTGTGCTCATCTGCAGGCAGCACAAAATGACCACTTTTGAGTAGTTGAACAGCGAGTCTTGGGCAAGAAGCACCATACCACCGTTATCGTATAAAAAAATTTAAAAAATAAGATATTTCAAGAATTGCACTAAGGAACATTTTTCTTAGTAGATATCTTAAGAAGATTTTCATGAATTTGGACCCAGAACACTCAAGCAAATGCTTATCAATGTTAAACCCCAATGGAGGGATGCAATTTTGAGAGCTTTATGGAGAGCATTTCAAAGTGAATATCTTGAAGGGTTAAACAGGCCTACAGATTAATGGAAGCAATTGAAAGTTTAAATTAACAGCTTGCTGATTTAACATTCATTCATGCTTTAAAGTTGACTTGACTTATATCCTAGCCAGTGCATCCTGAAACTATAGATGGCCAAAATGTAATGCATGATTTCTATGACAAAAATTTTTTATTAATTAATTATGATTACAACAGTATTTTTATTAATTATTACACTTGAATTAAATGATATTGTAATTGACAATACATTTGCATAAGTTAATTCTTTGAATTGTGTTTTAATGACATAGATAGCAGGGCACTCATAAAGATGTAACCAGTGTGGTTTTTTTTTATTCTAATTTCTATGTTTTGGTGATTTTAAGTTTTGTGACACCTGTTTTAAAATGTTTTAATTGTTTCAATGTTCTTTTTTTTAGCTAACCTCGTTTCCAGATACTCACTCTCAGACTGATATATATTGGGCACTAAATCTGTGTGATGTGTATTAAATGTATTACTTCCCATTTCTTGACATCTTTGAATGTATTTTATTCAGAAAAAAAGCTTAATTTTTATAAGATAATAATTTTTTTCCCACACAATGGTATTTTTCATGTTTTTCTTATTAGTCTTACTCTTGTCAAATAGCGTCTTATTCCATCACATGTACTTCGTAGCACATTACTCCGGCTCATCTCTCCCTTCCACTTCTCTCCCACACCTCCAGGAGTGCAGTAGATCTATTTTGCATGATTGTGTGTCTGTGTGCGTTTTTTTGACCAAAACTCTTCTCCATTTGTGTCCTTCATGAAGAACTCACTGTGTAGTGTGTCATTTCAGTGTCTGTTGCGTTTATCCATGTTCCATGTCTGTTATATCCCTGTGTATTTCCGTACACGGTGACGTTTCCTATCAGTTAGTGTACAGTATAAATGTTATAAATGTCCCTTCAAAGTGACTGTATTTTCAATGTGTGATCTATCAGACTGTATGTGTGTGTCTACTAGTGTTGCCATTCTGGGAGAGGGGAGGGCTTTAGTCTGTGGATTCAATGTGGACATCAGGTCTCTGCCTCCCCTTTCCACGTTTGCTGGTCTGCTCTGCAGTGAACAGCTAAACGGATGTGCCACAGCAGGTCTTTGTGGTTCACTAACATGCTAATAGCTGGGCTGGAAGTGCTGTGAAGTGGTTATACTCACAGAACACAGACACCCTAATCACCCTGAATAGTGAAGGGATAGTTCACCCAAAAATGAAAATTATGTCATGATTCACTCACCCTTGTGTCGTTCCAAACCCATATGCTATTATTTTTTTCTATGAAACAAAATTGATAAAAGATTGAGGTCAATAAAAAATATGCAGAGATTATTCAGAAATTATTCAAAAAGGATGCATTACATTGATCAAAAGTGACAGTGAAGACATTTATAAAATGAAAAAGATTTGTGAAACTTTCTATTCAGGAAAAGTCCTGGAAAAAAATGCATTATGGATTCCAGCACAAACATTTTCGCCAATAATAACAATAAGAAAAGTTTCTTGAGCAGCAAATCAGCATGTTAGAATGATTCCAAAGGATAATGTGACACAGAAATATATTAAAAATCAAACTAACTGTAATAGTATTTCACAATTGTAGTTTTACTCTATTTTAATCAAATAAATAGCATTAGTGAGCATAAGAGGCTTCTTTTAAAAACCATTAAAAAATCTTACTAACCCCAAACTTTTGAATGGTTTTGAATGATGCTACATGCTGTAAAAAAAACTCATACAAGTAGTTCAAACCTATATACTAATATCTTCAATATGTTAGTATATCAATATACTATATTATATACTATCTACCATATCAATATTCTAAGTATAGTTCAAATCTATTAACATATTTACTGACATATCGCTTGAGACTTACTGTTATAAAAATTATAATTCAACTTTATTCGGAGTACTACTTGTGCACAATGCACATTTCTTGATATTAAGCCTAAAATATGTTTTAATGTCACAACTGATGAGGATTGTCTGATCTATGAAAAACATCAGTCTTTAAATGCAAAGTGTAAACTTGCAATAGTTCCACTTCAGCACAATCAAATATACTTCACTATATCTTTAGCTGGACTTCAGCACTACTTCCGCACAATTAAAGTGCATTTAGTACAAAATTAGTTTTTTTCAGTTTAGCAGACTGTAGGGATACCAGTTTAGTCTACTTAAAGTGCAATTGCAGGGTATTAAGTACATAAATATGATGATGTATTTGTAGTATACTTAGCATGAAATAAATGTATTTCAAATTTATTTTAATATATTTATTGTTCACTAGGGTATTATTTTTTTTTTTAACAAAATTCTAAACTTCCCTTCTGCCGGAACTCAAATGGCATGGAAAATAGCATATGGGTTTAAAATAACACAAGGGAAGTAAACAATGACAGGAGTTTTATTTTTGGGTTAACTATTTCTGTAATATAAAAAAGAAAAGAAAATAGTACATCTGCATAAAAATGGTCTGGTCATATTCCTATCTATTTTGTCACATTTTAGTTCACAAATTAACCATTTTAGTCTTTGAAATTAATTGTAAAAAAAATGTATGTCTATTAATTCACCACTTTATTTTGCATTTAGAGGTCTGTAGTGTAGTTCAAACTCTCATACAGTAAAGCACTGTTCAGGAGTTCTTCTCGCACATTCATGCTGTGTGTATGTGTGTGTCCCTGTTTAGAAGAGAAAGTGATGGCGGATGATGAATTCACTTGCGACATTTTCCGCTTCCTGCAGCTGCTCTGTGAAGGCCACAACAACGGTGAGATTCCTGAGATGTCCACCACTTCTGTTTACTCGCTGTAGTGTTTGAAGAGAAAATCATGGAATCATAAAAAGATGTGTTCCAAAAACATGAACATCTCAGTTAAAGTTTTGCCTTTAGCCCTTGCCTTTACATATACACTGTATCAATGTAACTTTTATTCACCAAGGACAGATTAAATTGATCAAAATTAACAGTAAAAAATACTTTTAAAATGTAAAAATAATTTTTAAAAAAATGTTCACATTCAACATTGTGTTCATCGAAGAATCCTGGAAAAAAATTGTATCATGATTTCCACGAAAATAATAAATGACATTTTATTAGATTATTTAAAAATGTAATAATATTTCACAATATTACTATTTTTTGCTGTATTTTTAATCAAATAAATGCAGCCTTGGTAAGCACAGTGACTTCTTTCAAAAGCATAAAACATCTTACTGATCCCAAACTGGTAGTGAAAATGTGTGAAATGCCTAATTATTTAAAAGAACAGCTGGTTTTGCATTACCGTCTTTCTCCAGATTTCCAGAACTATCTGCGCACACAGACAGGCAGCACAACTACGATCAACATCATCATCTGCACGGTTGACTATCTGCTCAGACTGCAGGTATAGCTTCATCTCGCCTTTCTTCCTCTACATATACTAGCACCAAAAGTATTTGGACAATTAAAAATGTGTTAATGGCATTGCGTTTGAGAACAAGAAAACAAATAAAGTGAATTTTTGTCCTCGCTCTTGTCTTTTTTTCTGTCTCAGGAGTCTATCAGTGACTTCTACTGGTATTACTCTGGGAAGGATATCATTGATGAACCAGGCAAGAGAAACTTTTCTAAGGCAATGACGGTTGCTAAACAGGTTTTCAACAGCCTGACAGAGTATATCCAGGTACTGATGTCACCACTATATGCAGTCAAGCTCTTTCAAACTGGCAAATTTCCATCTTTAACATAGTTTATCTTTTTTTTTTCACCATAGGGTCCTTGCACTGGTAATCAGCAGTCTCTGGCTCACAGCAGATTGTGGGATGCAGTGGTGGGCTTCTTGCATGTGTTCGCACACATGATGATGAAGCTAGCACAGGTAGGAACACACATGTTGAGCACAGACAGACCCCTAACGTGACTGATAAATCTTATTATATTGATCAATTTTATTACACCTAGAAGACCCCGGATATTTCTTCAACACTGTTCCATCAACACTGAATCAGTATCATCTGTATGTTGGTTTATTTTGACATTAAAATACTTGTCACTGAGTTTTGCCTAATTTCACCAGCTTTACACAGAGGAAATCAGAGAAAAAAATGCATTATTTTTTTTATTTTTTAAGTATTGCTGCAAAAAAATGTTTGTGAAAGTGTTTATAAGAGCAGGAATATTTGGAAGTTAAATGTTCCAAATGTACAGTTTTATAGTGTTTAACTTGCATTGAGCTTATAATTTGTGCAACAGAATAGAAGTCAAATGCATGTCATACATGTACATACTTATATATTCTATATAAGTATGATCAAAGTAGATTATTAAGGAATATTTTTTGGAGGTTGCATTTTTTTCTCAGTACTAATGTTTAATTATGCATAGTCTAATTAGTTCATTAATTAAAATCTCTTTTATTTAATACTTGTTTTAATAAGTTACTGATCCATTTACTAATTTGGGGTTGACTGTGGTTATTAACTCCCTGAGTCAGTTCCTACCTGTTTATATCGTAAATTATAGATATAGAAGAAACTTTATTGGAGTTATTAAAACATATAAGGAGACTTGGGGCCAGTTTTACTAAACAGGGCAAGTTCCAAATGCAATTCCAAAACAGCGCTGATGGGTGTGGAAAATTCTTGAAGGGTGATTTACTAACAAATGCACAAATTAAAGAACACAGAGGCAACATCTCATTTACATATCGACCAACGCAATATACCAAGCGCAGCGAAAATTAGCGTAGTCTCAAATAAAGAATAAATAAATAAAGACGCCACAGTACGTTGAAAAGAACCGGAGGCCAAAAAATGAAGGGTTGCGAGACGTTTTGATAGACCTGGTATTGCGTGACTCCCAAGCGGCAACCTCCCGCTCTCTCTTGTGAAACCAACACAGAAGTGACTAAAACTGCAATTCATCGACTGGTCGCTAGAGGCTGGCTCCAAAAGGGAGTCAGTCACATAGACTCCCCATGTTAAAATGCCCAACTTTACAGCAGAAAACTTTTTAGCAGCATCATATGACCCCTTTAAAGTTCTGCATAATTAAGGGTGTGGCCTCTTGAGTGACAGGTGGATTGCCGCTGCTGTCACCAAACACTATGTCCATGTTTTTATACAGTCTATGGTGACTCCTAGTTGAGGGTTCCAAGTCACCTTTTATTTTCTGAAGCAAATTAAAAATAACATGGCTTGGCAAACGATATGTTCAGAGAATGTGTTCTTCTGGCATTCCAAATAAATTAACACATGTGGAAAAATCCTCTCTCTTCTACCATGCGCTCTCTGTTCTCTGTGGTGCCTTCTCCTAACAACAACAATTGCAGCCATGTCAAGCGCAAAATAGTTCAAGACATGCTTTTTTTGTTTTCGTTAAATAATGGCGCAAATACCAGTAATTTGACGAGCGCAACCTTAGTAAATCACATTGCGTGATTCATTTGAATACTCTCCTCCCAAAAAATTTGCATCTGAAAGGGAAACTCCTACAAATGCATATTCAATAAGGTCAGGCGCAAAAATAACTGTCCATGCCTTTTCAGTGCTAATTTATTACTGCGTGTCTTTTGTAAATCCTGACTACTATTTTAATGCCAAAAGACGGTTTGCACTGGTGCAACCTGATAGTAAAACTGGCCCTTGGTTGTTAAATTTCTTTAGAGTATCATATATTTTATGGCAAGCTTTTCTAAAATGTAACTAAGATTTTAATTGCAGTTTAAATAGAGTAGAATTTGTCTGATTGTGTCGTTTATCGGTTTATTGGTTGATCGCTATTTCCAAACTTGATTATAGTGGATTATCGAATGGATTGTATTTCACACTGTTGTTATTCTGTTATATAAATGTTTGGTCCAGTATTGCCACTAATCCATGAATGTGGAACATGTTCACAGTGTGACGTGAATGTTGATGCTCTAGTCATCTTTAATCATGCGTTGTTTCTCTTAACCTCTCTGTTGTGTTGTTGGATTTTGTTCTGAGTGTTACACATCTGGTACCTGTGTACTGCATTTTTGTATTTCTTAAAATTGAGAATCTCTCCCACTCTCTCAGGCTTCAAAAATGTGAATATGGCTGATTTACCTGTCTCCAGTCTGTCGAAAGATCAGTGCCCACCTGTCAAAGTTGGTTTGTAAAAAACAAATTGACACGGTTGTGTTTTATAATATAGGTGAGGCCCACAAAAGGCCAACTTAACTGTAATGATCTTATTTTTGCAACTAAACTTACTTAATTTTAATATTAAACAGCTTTGCCCTGTTTGTCTGCATAAGTAGGAGTGAAAGACTATAAAAACAGACATGCTAATTAAAAAATGGAATGAGTGAATATATCTAAGAGAGTGGGAGATACAAAATCAATACAAAATACAAAAATGTATTAAAAATGTTGATGGGTAACATTTTTATTCTGATGTGTAACCCTGCCAGATGCACCCTGACCCTGGACTCCGAAATGGCGTAAGGATCTTTGTTTTTGCTTCCATCTTACGCACTTGTGCACTGCTTTCCACACACGTACACAGTACACAGAACAGTTTCTTCTTTGCTTCCTGTTTCCGTTGTATTGCTTATGTGTCGGCATGTTTTCTGCAAGTGTTTTCACTTGCATTTTCTGTCATGTACATTCCCTCTGTCCCCACTGTATCAGTGTTGAATTTCTGAAAGCAGTCTTAACCTTGTTGGGTTTATTTTTGATATACTGGAGCTGAGGGAGATGTCACTATGCCATGTTCCTGCTGTTGCTCACTTGTAGAGGAAATTTATTTCCCTCGACCTGCACTGTGTTACTCTTTTCATATACAGATATACATAAGAGTCTCAAAATAAAATCTGTACAATACTGCGTAAATCTCACAAAACCTGTCAAGATCACGTCTGGGTCACATTTGAAAAAGTATGAAATAATTGTATACGTTTTATTTTCATTGCAAAGTGTGTGTATGTGTATTTTTTTTTTTCTCGATTAAAATTAGCCCAAACCAAGTGATATTCATTGTAATATTGTATTATGAACCTATGAATATAATATAAATGTGTTTCTTTGAAGAAATATACAGTTTATTTTTTTATTTTTTTTTTTGATTTTGCAGTTTTGTGAGATTCATCTAATCTTTCTTTATGTGTATGTGCAGGCCTTTGTGCTCTTTTGTTGTTAAACATGTTAGTGTGTGTACTGTGTTTGCAGGTGTGTGTGATATTGTTCTGTATGAAAGACTGTTTATGTGTCTGCTGGCATTCCTTCATATGCTTAGACCATTAGCTAGGCACATATAAAATGTGCTTGCAAAGAACCTAGATATTTATTGTTAATAATAGGAATTACATATTATGCCACTTTATGGCAATATTTTGCAGATTCAAAGTCATAAAGTATATGATAGTCCTCATCTATGCCAGGAGCTGACATCTGCTTCTGGCTGTTTTATCTTCATATCCGTCTTTAAATGTCCCTGTGTTAGATGTTAGGTTACAGTATGTCATGCTATGTTTGTGTCTGTTTATAAATGCAAACCCAGGATCATTTCTGGAGTAGAACACATTCTGAGGTAAGCTGAGAGTAGGTGGAATTTGTCCCAATAGTGCCATCTCCCACATCACATCCCCCACCCACCCCCCCAAAAAATAAAGATGTTATTTAGTTATGCTACTAAAATCTAATTTAGCCTGATCAGGATACTTGGTGTTCTCGGTAAATCTCTTTTCATGGTTCCATGCTGCATATCATATTAAAAACTATGGAGTACCAGCAATATATGTGAACTGAAAGGTCCTTTTATGCTCTCTATCAGTGAGAGTTTGAGACATTTTTTTGGGTAACGATTTTTTTATTTTGTTGGGTGTTTGAATCTGGTTGTGTGAAACAGGACTCCAGTCAGATTGGTCTGTTGAAGGAGCTTCTGGATTTGCAGAAGGACATGGTGGTGATGCTTCTCTCTCTATTAGAGGGTAAGAAATATCTGTCCATCAAATTTAACTTTAATCTGTAAAGTCATTTAAAGGATTAGTTCACTTCCAGAATAAAAAGGTTCTGATAATTTATTCACTCCCATGTCATCCAAGATATTCATGTCTTTCTTTCTTCAGTTGAAAAGAAATTAAGGTTTTTGAGGAAAACATTCCAGGATTTTTCTCCATATAGTGGACTTCAATGGTGGCCAACGGGTTGAAGGTCCAAATTGCAGTTTCAGTGCAGCTTCAAAGGGCTCTACACGATCCCAGTCAAGGAATAAGGGTCTTATCTAGCGAAACTAATGGTTATTTTCTGAAAAAAAAAATGCTTGTCTTGTCACATTGGAAAGGTCACACGTGACACAGGCAGAAGTACGACCCAGTGTTTACAAAGCGAACGTGCAAAGAAAGTCAAACGTCCTTTACAAAAAAGGTAAAACAATGATGTCGGACGATTTTGAAGTTGGAGGAGAAAATGAGATGGAGTTTTTCGCCCTACCCTAACTTTTTGAACCGAAGTACCAGGGTTAATTTCATTGACGAATAATTTTCGTCATAATTTTCGTCAACGACATTTTTTTCGCCAACGACAAAGAGACGATAACGAACTAGAACTCTTTTTGAATGACAAAAACTATGACGTAAATCTATTGACATTTTCGTCAATGAATAAAAACGAGACGAAAATGTAAGGGAGGAACGATTTGGGAAGAGATTCATTCAGAGCGAATCTGCTGTGTGGTTCCAATCTCCGTGGTTCGGAGGTTAGATGCGTACATATGAACAGGCAGGACATAAGCTAACATACACTTGCTGCACGTCGCATAAAACGTTCAAAAAATGTCAATATGTGGGAATAAGAGAAGAGCAGACATATGGATAAATCTGACGACGCAAGAGAGAACTCAATTCGGTCTGGTTTTCTGAGCGCAGACACTGAAGCATACACACACAGAAAGCACGTCTCACAGCGCACGAGTACTCTTTTGCGTCACATTAATGGAGAATTACACACAAAATTATGTCGAATTGTCCGTTTTGATGAGTATTCACGTAAACACAGTTGATTATGTCTTAAGTGAACGTAAACAGTAGGGAGAACGTGTATCAGTACATTGCATCCATTGCAGCTGTGCATTCGTTTTAAAGGGATAGCAGACTAATTGTCCGAGTCATTGATGTTAATCAAGCAGCAAAAGAAAGACAGAAAATCACGCACTGCTCTTGACTGAAAAACTTTAGTAGCCCTAAAGAT